CTGCTATTATGCAATTAATTAGAATTATTCTTATAAGCTCTATTCTTTACATGCATTTAGAACCTTTACTCATAATGTATATGTTATTAAAGTTTCGCCCCCTGTTGTTGAAACTCACTGAGTACAATGGATGGTACTGACGTTTTCTTTTGGGAACCTACGTTGGTCTGCGGTACAACGTAGGAACCGAATTTGCAGGCGAGCAGGCTACGAGTTAGGACTTCCTTCTTCTCCAGTGCTATTGGTGAGCTCCGCTTTTGTTCGTGGAGTGTTCCTTAGAGTCATCTTTATTTAGTTATTTCTTTGTTACTTAGAGAACTGACCAGGAAATCTCATGTCCTGAGCAGTGCGCCAGTTTATCAGTAGAGGCTTCATAGACATAGTCGTTGGGTTGAGATTCAGATGTTTTTGGTAATAACTTAGCAGTAATTCAGTAGTTACTACGAATAAAGTTTTGGAGTTGATTTATTGAAATATCTGAGTTAATCAAAAGTATTTGGTTAGAGTATTGCCTTGTTGCATATAAAGTTTGGTGTTATAATAGATTTGATAAACAGAGATGGTTCACTCGGTCATGTTTAGTGATCGAGTGTCGGTCTCGGCTTGTTCAGAAAATGGGTCGTGACATACTCAGTACATGTGCTACATGTAGAGAGTAAAAACATTGACTAATGAAGACAAATACATATAGAATTAGATGATCTTACAAGATTAAGTCCAATATGCAAGAAAAAACTTGCTGACATTGTTTGCAGGTTGAGAATCACATTCATACATACAGTATTTAGCAATCATCTAAGTCCAAAGGCTTTTTTGTTTATCTCAGAATTGTCTTTTTCAGTTAAGCTGCACGGCTATGAGTCTATATAGACCACTAACCAAAATTTATTGACCAGTCCAATTACCTGGTCTTCACTCCGCAACCAATAAATACTTGGAAAACAAGAACAAAGTTTGCCAAGTATGTCAACCAACTCTCTAATACAGAGCAAAGACAGAATGAATCATACAGATATATTCCCCGTTGAACTCTCAAACTAAAAAGGTTTATTTGGCTGACAGCAGTAGCAATTTTCATTGCTTCCACAAATCAAATTCTTTTGTACAGAACACTTCCACACATCAATGTAAACATAAATATCGGAAAAGTTACAGAATTCTCCCTTATCATACAGCTTTGCTATAGAGAATTAGAAACTACAACCCCATTTGCACACATTAATATAGAAGGTACTCATTTCTAATTGAACTACTACTCATAAAAATAGGCTAAAGATTTGAAACATTAAAAAAAGAAAATAAAACCAAAATAACCAAACCAAAAGAAGAAACAAAAGGAAAAAGGAGAGAGAGAACGTGAAAGGAAAAAGAAGGTCTAACTCGTACAGGAAGCGTAGTTTCTGAAGCTTGCCCAGTGTGTCAGGGATTGGACCATTTAAGTTGTTCAGGTAAAGATCCAAGCTAACCAACTCTGTCAAGTTTCCCAGTTCATTTGGAATTCTTCCGCTTATGTTATTACTATAAAGCTCCCTGAAATTAAAAAAGAGAAAATAGCATAGCAATTTGTTCTGAGAATTGCAGACCGTGCAGCTTAAGATGAGATGTGTCAACTTAGCTGTGCATAGGTATGTTACACATTTGAAGGGTAAAATTGCTTCCACAGGTTATACTTTCAGGTAGACATGAAAAAGAGAACGATGCTACTAAAAGCAATAGGTATAACTATGAGCTTTGGATTGGAAGTTTCCCACCCAAACAGAGAGTATCGTGATTTTAGCACACAATATCACAATTTGGCAGACAAGGAATCAAGCAATAGTACATAACACCTAGCCGTTTTTTTTATATATACAAATAAAGTTTTTTCTTTAAAATGGTACCGAGATGGTACATAAAAAGTACAAAGCACAGCTGCAGCTCCTGCACCATTCATGCTACATATTCCCCCCTACGAAATACAAGAAATACAGATACTGATCCATTCTATCTGACTACTGCTATGACACCAAAAATACAAATTCTTGATACATTTGTTCTCGACTCTAGATAGCTGCAACCTCTTCCCCTCAAAACATGCTTTGTTCCTTTCCTGCCATATAGTTCACATTATGCACATTGGAATAGTCCTGCAGATTTGTTTTACAGCTCTTGCTATTCTCTGAGATTGTCAGATCTCCAATAGGCTCTTGATGTTCTGTGGTATTACCAAATATATGCCAATGATGTTAAAGAAAACCTCCCAACGATGTCTTGAAACTCTGCAATGTAAGAACAAGTGCTCAACTGTTTCTTGTTCTTTGTTGCCAAGATAGCATCTACTACATAGGGGAAAACCTCTCTTTTGTAAATTGCTCTGAGTTAAGCATGCAGTCCTAGTTGCTATCCACCCAAAACATGCAGCTTTCGTAGGTGCCTTGTTTCTCCGTATCATTTTCCAAGGCATATTAGGATCTCCTTGACCACTCTGTTGCATTAACATATTATAACAACTTTTAATAACTTCTGACTAAAAATACATTATCCTTGCTGTTGAACCAAGCTAGTCTGTCTGCTTTGTTCTGGTTTATTGAGCACGGGTTCGGTTGCTGAAGTAGGTGACAGAAACTTTCCAGTTCCCAATCTTTCAAATTCCTTCTGAAGGTGACATTCCAGCCTGAATCTGCATTGATATCTGCAATAAAGCCCTCTTTATTCAAAGCACAACTATATAGGTCTGGAAATCTGCTTCTAAAGCTCTCCTCTCCATCTCAACTATCCAACCAGAATTCAATTTCTGCACCATTACTAGTCTGGAGAAATTCATCCCACCATCCACCTATTTTCCCCATATAAAGCATCTATCATCTTATGCCAGATTTCCTCACTTCCCCTACTGTATCTCCATAACCATTTAAAGAGCAGGCTTCTATTATGTAACTTCAAGTTTCTCAACCCCCCCCCCCCC